GACACTTGCTTAAGCTCCACAGCTAGTGGGTAGCAAAGCTGGGGTTTGCACCCGATCAGCGTGACTGTCTTTACTCTGCCTGCATCCCAGTGGGGACAGCCTCCTGGGTTTCCTCTCCTGGAGAGATCTGGGCGGGGAGAATAGGAGGTCGGTAGAAAGGACAAACTCTGGGGAATGCCGAATTGTGGGACCGGGAGAGGAGGTACCCTTAGGGGCAGCATTATCCCTGGCCTGGACAGAACTAAGCCAGTTCCGAGAGGGAGTGCCCTGGCGGGGGGCAGCCTGCTCCAGCAGTTGGGCAGTGGGGCACTGGGACCAGGCCACCGGCTTCTGGGGGTGATAAAGCCGGGAACCCAACTGAGACTACAGATCTGAAGGAGCTCTCTGGCCCGGCTGGCGGCCATTGTTCCCAGCCTCCAATCAGGAGCACCCACTTCCTGTTATTTTAGGCGGCAGGAAATGACCCCATCCCGCAGCCTGGGCCCCACCACATCCCTCCGTCAGCCCCAGCAGGGCTGCCGAGGCGCTGAAGACAGAGGCCCAACCTCAGGCCAAGGCCTGGAGATGCCCCTCAGCTGGACTATTACCACTACCTGGGTCCAGGGCCTTCCTCCTGGTTCAACTGCTTAGGCTTCAACCTGGCAGGCTTCCCAGAGGACCCAGGGCTCTGCTGGGGCTACCTCTGCCTGCCAGAGAAAAGATTATGGGGTCCCCAAGATCAAGATGCCCACACAGGCCAGTCATGGGAGGGAAGCAGGCCAGACCTTGTCACTGGCTGGCTTAGCCATAATTCAGCTTAGAGGTTTGGGGCACAGACTTCAGAGTCAGACGGATTTGAGTTCAAATCCTGCCTCTGCCAGTTGCTAGCTGTGTGAATTTAGGCAAGTGACTTCAGGCAAGTGACTTCATCTTCCTGAGTCTCATCTGTAAAATGGGGATAATGCTAGTCCCTACTCATGGGACTGTGGTGAGGAACAAATGAGACAATGCCCGTGACATGCTGAGCATTGTGCCTGGCACAGAGAAGGCCCTTAATGAGTAGGAAATAATAAGTCAGAGATAATTAATGGGAAATAACTTGGTTCACCGGGGGAGTCTCTAGCTGGCTCACATCATCTCTTACAACTGCTGAGGAGCGCTAGTAAGGGCAGCAATACCATGTTCCCTACGCCCTCCCAGGCTCTCTGCTCCCCTCAGGGCAGAGCTGCAGCTGAGAAGTGGTGGAGGAAACACTGAAGGCTGTGCCCCTGGGTGCCAGGCAGAGCTACCACCAGCCAACAAAGCTGCATTATCTGGGCCTGACTAGTTGGCTCCCTTACTAGCCCCAAGGCCCAGCAGGGACCTAAGGACGTGGGTCCTAGCTGCCTGTGGCCTAACTTCCAGCCTGGGTCAGACGTGAGACCTGACCTGATGGCCCTCAAGTATGGCCATTCTAGTCTGGACCCGGCTTTCAGTCCCTTCCCTCAGCCCTTGCCCACTAGCCTGTTGGGAAAGGGGACCTGCGTTGGCCTAGTGTCCCTTCCACCTCATTTGCATATGCATGACTGCACATTAGGGGCTCATTAGAGGCCTCATTATTGGGCCCACCAGCCCAAGAAGGGACTAGGAAGCTGTCATTGGGAGGTGCCAGCCAGCTGGCTGCTGGATGTATGGCCAAAGCCCCCTGTGCCAGTCTTACCAATGTCTATTCGTCCTTTCAGATCCACCTCAAATGCTGCCTCCTCCGTGAAGCCTTCCACAAGCACAGCCCACTGCACACTATCACCATTATACCTGGTTCCCTGCAGTGAACACATCTGCCTCCCTGGCCAGGTTAAGACCTCCCCAAGGGTCAAAACTCCATCTGATTCACTTCTCTGCCATCCACATAGACTGCACTGAGCTGGCATACGGTGGGGCATCAGCATGGGTGTGCTAGATAGCTGACTGCACCTGTTTCTTGGGTCTTCTCTCCTATTCCCAGTGTCCCACTTCAGGTATGGGGCCCCTCTGATCCCTGGATACACCCTAGCTCATGTCTGCCTAGAACTCCCCTCTCCCCTGCCTTCTTGTCCTATACTTACCTCCTATAATTCTAATCAATCACATCTCAGGCTTCTGACGGAATTAAAAATAACAACAAAAAACAAATAGCTAGGCCAGGCATGGTGGCTCATGCCTGTAATCCCCACACTTTGGGAGGTCAAGGCGGGAAGATCACGAGGTCAGGAGTTAGAGACCAGCCTGGCCAACATGGCGAAACCCCATCTCTAGTAAAAATACAAAAATTAGCCGGGCGCGGAGGCAGGCGCCTGTAATCCCAGCTACTCGGGAGGCTGAGGCAGGAGAATCGCTTGAACCCGGGAGGCGGAGGTTGCAGAGAGCCGAGATCGTGCCACTGCACTCCAGCCTGGGTGACAAGAGCAAGACTCTGTCTCAAAATAAATAAATCAATAAATAACAAATAGCTAGCACTTACTAAGCACTAACTATGTGCCAGGACCTAGCCTAAGTTTTTCTGTGTTCATCTAATTTAATGATGCCAATGTCTCTATGAGATAATTTCTAGCATTATTCTCATTTTACAGATGGGCAAACTTAAGACAGGTTAAGCAACTTACTGAGATCACACAGAGGTTAAGTTACAAAGTGGAGTCTTAAACTGTTTGATTCCAGAATCTACACTCTTAAACAAATTGACTCCCAATTCCTGCTCCCACCCTCCTCTATATTTCATACCTCCCTGCTGGCACCGGTTGCCGGAGCATAACCACAATAATGGTAATAACACTTTATTGCAGGTGTCTGGTGTCTGCGTGCCAGATTCCTTGAGTTACATCATCTCTAACCCTCACATTAACCCCACAAGATTGACAATACTGCCCCTATTTTCCAGGGGCAGAAACCGTGGCTCCAGGAGGTAAGTCACTTGCTCCAATCCAGTAGCCGGTACATGGCTAACTGGGATTTCCATTCAGGTTTTCTGACCTGAAAGTGGGCCCCACACTTGTCCTCTACCCCATGCCACCCTCTGTTACTGCTCAGTGTCCAAGTGTAAAAAGGAACTCAAAGGGAGCAGGGATCGTGTCACATGCTCTCAGAGTGTCAGGCCCATGCCTCAGACTATCACAGGGCACATGCTGTGAGCACATTTACTCCCACAAAGCCCCATAGAGGACTCCTGTCACCTTTGACTATTCTGTGTGGGGAACTGCCACTATCCTGATCCAGGTTCTCATGTGACTCCATCTAGATCCCTGTGTATAGAAGAGTCCTCCCAATGCAGGAAGCCTATATGCAGTCCCCCCACCGGCCCCTGACCCAGCCCTCCCCCTCAACCCAGCCTCCCCACTGCCCCCGTAGAGCCAAGCATCTCACCCATGCTCTCATATTCAGTCTAGGCATCCTACCCAAGTATCCTAATTATAAAGTAGCCACAGCTCAGGCTCTCTGTATCCCAGTCACCACCCCCATTCAGGCCCCCAACTATACACCAGTGCCAGAGGCCCTCAGGTGCAGAGGGCCAGTAAGCTGAGGTTGGACTCAGGTTGGGCCTCCCTGGGTGTCCCCTCTCAGGCTCAGCCAAACCGGGACAAACCCAGACACTCTTGTTTCCAGCCCAGCCTACAAGCCTCCTGAAACCCACCAGTCTGATGGTAGCCTCCCCTCCACATTCTCCCAGATTCCACACCCAGACAGTCCCCTAGAAGCATCCTTGCTGGCATGGGGAGGAGCCCATCCACAGCCCATCAGCCCTACCTTATCCTGGGCTCTCTCCGCACCCACACACTGTTTCATCCTGGGCCCACACCCCAAGGGGCAGGGAGGTGACAGGATTAGGCTCAGGACTCCATGGGGGTGTGGGGATGGAGCCACCTCCCCCCTGAGTCAATGGGAACAGGACTTGGGTCCTCAGTAATCATGTTCTTCCCTCCCCTTCCAGGAAGAAAGAGAAATCGCCTCCTTCCAAAACCAAGCCCAACCAGAAACCTGTCCCCACCCCCTCATCAGCTGCTCCCAGATCCGAATGGGATTTGCAGAAGTCCTGAGCACTGGTGGTTGGTGGGGTGAGCGGTGCGGGGGGAGCTTTGGTGGTCTGAGGTGTGGGCAGAAAGAGAAAAAGAGTAAGCAGGGAGGTCTCAAAGCCTCAGGTTGGGGAATGATGTGGCAGGTCCAGGGAGTGCCGGCTTGGAGCCTTTACCTCATTCTCTAGTGAGAGATTCCGGCCCAGAGAGGCTGGGAAGGAGGGCAGGCAGGAGAAGCAGATTTACTTCTGTCCCCCTCCTCCCCGAATCGGGCTGGGTGGGCTCCAGAGTGGGCCTGGCTGCAGGGGAGGCGGCCCACTCCCCAGCTCCCGCCCTCGCCCCAAACAATGCCGCCTCCCCCTCCCCCTCGCCTTTATCCGGCGGGTTACTTGGCAGCCGCGGCTAGAGACCTCCCTCTCCCCTCCCCTCCCTGCTTTCCCCTCCCCGCCGGCCCGCAGCAGCAACAGGCCCTTTGCGCGGCAGCTGGACGGATGGGGTGGGGGCGAGGTCTGGGCCAGGGCGTGAGGGTACGGGCACTAAGGCCGAGGCGTCGGTATGCAGGGCCCAGGCCTGAGAATCTGGACCCCCGACACACTCAGACTGGGGTCACATGTGCCACGGGGGATGGGGAAGGGGACGGAAGCCCTAGCTCGGTAGAAGAGGATCTTCAGGGCCCGGGGTGGATCGGGAAGGGATGTGGGGGCGGGGAAGCTGAGATGGCACTAAGCTGGGGCAGAAGGGTCACCCCAGCAACTCCCGCGCGGGGTCCCCGCGGTTCCCGACGCCCGATGCGTCCGGCACCCGGGGTGGGGGAGGGGGCAGCTGTCAGAGGATGCATCGGGAGCCGCCGCCGCCGCAGCCTTTATTTTTAAACTACCAAGTGGTCAGAGGGCGCGGCGGCAGAGGGGTCCCCGCCCAGCCGGCCGGCCTCATCCTCGGCCGCCCCGCAGCCCCTCCATCTACCCCCATCTCGCCTCCGCGTGGCTCCTGGCATACCTGGGGGTGCGCCCGCCCCCAGCTCCGCACGCGGGCAGCTCTCCATGGCTGCGGCGTCACTGGGGGTCTCGGGGTCTCAGCGGCGGCGGCGGCGGCGGCCAGCGGCCAGGACAGGGGTCCCGCGGCGCATCACGCCCGGCCCGGCAAGCAACAACTCGGAGGCGGGGGCGCTCCGGGGAAGGTCGAGGCAGGTGGCCCGCGAGGCTCGGAGGTGCCGGTTGCCCAGGGTCTCACCGCTGCGGCCGCGATCCCGTTCCCTGCCCGGCGCCGGCCCAGTCCCGGCCTCGGTCCAACCCTATTGTACCGCCCGGGCTGGGCCTGGCCTCTCGCTGGCGCGTACCAAGTTCGACGCGGGGGAGTCCGCCCCAGCAGCGCCCCGGGACCCAGCCCCGCGCGCCCGCGCCGTCCGCGCCGCCCCCGCCCCGGAGCCCCGCGCCCGCAGCCTTCCGGCGCCTCTTCCACGGCCACGGCCGAGTGGGCGCCACGGCTCCAGGAGTTCGCCGCGCCAGATGCCTCCCCCTGCGTCCGCGCCTTGGTACGCGCCGCAGCGCCAGAGGACTATGTAGGGAGCGCTCGGGTGACTCACCCGCCGCGGGGACTGGGGGAGAGGGGGAGCAGGACTGGGACTCCCCTTTCCCACCCTGGAGTTTGGGGGCTCTGGCGCTGGGGCTGAGAGGGCAGCTTCGAGTCCAAATTCTTTCTCAAACCCACCTAAACCAAAGCGGCCCGGGGGACGTCGGGAGGCATGAAGGAGAGTCACAAGGAGGCCCCTGAAAGGGCTTCGCTTTCTCTCTCCTGCTGATGGCTGGGCTGGGGAGAGGTCCTGGAGCCTTGCTGCCGCCCTTGCTCCGGCATCCTGGGCTTGTGTCTTCCCTGCTCCTCTGGGGTAATTACAGCCCTGCGCAGCTGCCTTACCCAGGTCTCTAATCTGCTGGGTCCCTCCCGGCTCCAAACTGGGTGGTCCTAGCCCTGAACCTCCCCCACCCCCACCAGACGACCCCGCCAATCACCCCAGAAGGATTTTCTCCCCGTGGTCTGTCGATGAGGGGGTGGCGACCCCCTCCAGAATCCACTCCCTAAAGTAGCCCTTCTTCCCAGCCCTCCAGAGTGGACTCCCAGCCCCCTTGTTGGTGCCAGCTGAGGTGAGGGCTTCAAGCCAAGCCAGGCCCAGCCCGGGGCAGAGTGGGGAGCTTGCTGGGAAGGTGGATGGATGATGGTGCTGCTGCAGGGACTTGGGTTGGTGGGGAGGAGGAGGGGCAGCTGGGCCCTGCGCACCCTGGCCCTGCCCTTTGTCCTGACTTCTAGAAGGTCAGTTCTCTCGTTCTTCATTGTCCAGAGATTAGGCCCAGTGAGATACTGTCCCCCTTGCCCCCCTTCCCGCCAGTGCCTCCTTCCTTTTAGCAGCTCCAGAAAGCGGCCATTTGGAGGGATAGAGTGGGAAACAAAAGCGTCACCAGCTCAGGCAACCTGGGAGCAGCCTGTCCTGGGATGTGTGCATACCCGGGGGGGGCTTGGACACTCTTGGGAAGGCCTGGGAAGGGAATAGTGTCCCCTCTGGCCCAAAAACATTAGAAAAAGATGATGATAGAAGGGCGGCAACTGGAGCCGGCAACCTTGAGCTAGTGACTTAACTTTTCTAAAATCTAATTTGCTTTCCTACAAAATCAGAAAAATAATAGTGCCATGAGGTATCTTGGGGTCTTTGTAAAGATTAAATAAGGCAATGGAAATGAAGTGCTGAGCACAGAACCTGGCATCTAGGAAGTGCTCAGTAAATAAGTATAATGGTGATGAAGGCATTGATGAGTAAAAGTGGAAGGACCAGAAGCAGATCCCGCATCTTTGTGTCAGTCATCTTATCTGCAGGGTGGGGGGACTGCGGGGATGTTGGAGTTCATGACAGTCCTTTGTGAGGTCAGAGGCCTCACAGCCTGCCTCTTCCAAAGCTGGACAGGCCAGACCTGACCCAGGCAGTGGCCAGACAGCAGAATTCAGGAACACGTATGGGGAGAGCCCTCTGGGATGGTTCTTCTCCCACCTCCCACCCCTTGTCTTGAGATTACTGCAGGGATGAAGATAGATGGATGGATGGATGGATGGGAGTAGTGAGATACCCACCATTGGCTACGGTTCAAGAATAGTGTCTGGCTGTGGTGGCTCACACTGTAATCCCAGCAATTTGGGAGGCCAAGGTGAGAGGATTGCTTGAAGTCAGGAGTTCGAGATCAGCCTGGCCAACATGGTGAAACCCTGTCTCTACCTAAAATACAAAAGTTAGCCAGGTGTGGTGGTGTGCACCTGTAATCCCAGCTACTCCAGAGGCTGAGGCAGGAGAATCGCTTGAACCTCGGAGGCGGAGGTTGCAGTGAGCCAAGATCGTGCCACTGCACTCCAGCCTGGGCAACAGAATGAGACCCTGCCACAACAAAACAAACAAACAGCCAAACAAACAAAAAGAATAGTGGAGGCGGAAATGGCAGCTAAAAATGAACAGATAGGTCAGGGACAGCCCACGCAGGAGGACTTGAATGCCAAATGGCTTGGAAATGAGCATGGGGAGCTATTGAAGATCATGAGGGTTTTCAGTAGAGGAAGGGAGAGCAGACTTTAGAACTGGAAATCTATTGTCTTCGGGATTGACTGTGGGGAGCTCACTAAAAAGAGACAGCGCGTGGTATTAGCCTACGTCAGGGGTTCTCAACCAAGGGTAATTTTGCCCCCCAGGAGACATTTAGCCATGTTTAGAGACACATGGCGGTGTGGGGGGGTGTGTCTGTAAACATGGCAGCTACTGCGTAGAAGCCAGGGATACTGCTTACCATCCTACATTGCGTAGGACCATCCTCACAATAAGGAATTCTCAGGTGCAAAATGTCAGTAGTGCTAAGGTTGAGGAACCCTTCCCTAGCCTGAGGGTGAGGCACTCATAATATGTTGATTCTGGAGACCAGCAGAGCATCTGGGAGTTTGGCAGCTTAAATGACAGTTCTCCTGGCCAGACCCGAAGGCTTCCTGCACTGCTGACGAGTCCACGGGGAGTGCGGGAAGGATGGCTGAGGGGGTGTCTGGAGAGCACCCATTTTCCGTGATTGAGACAGTCAGTGGACAGAGAAAGTGGACTCTTCTCCATTCTCCTCCTCACTGGCCAGGATCCCTGGTGGATCCCAGGCCCCAGCAACCAAGAGGGTTAAGAGTGGACGTCTCTCTGAGTTTGGGGCTAGGTGACGCTGCATGGGGCACCACAAATATTAGACATCCCAGAGAAGGAGCAAGTTGGGTACTTGTTGAAACCCTAACATAAGAGGCTGAAGTCCCAACACCATTCTCTGCAGTCTTTGCACGAGGGACAGGGACCTCTGGACTAGGGCAGTCTCCTCAGGGCAGGAGGAGATTGTGGCCCAGGGCAGTCTCCTCCTTCTGCATGGAAACAGGCATGAGTGAGCTGTTCCTTTCCTTTTGGAAGGCCGACGCAGGCGGATTGCTTGAGCTCAGGAGTTCGAGACCAGCCTGGGCAACATGGTGAAATCCATCAAAAATATAAAAAAGTCTCCATCAAAAATACAAAAAATTAACCAGGCATGGTGGTGCGTGACTGTAGTCTGAACTACTCAGGAGGCTGAGGTGGGAGGATCACTTGAGCCCAGGAGATCAAGGCTGCAATGAGCCATGTTTGTACCACTGCACTCCAGCCTGGATGACAGAGACCTTGTCTGAAAAAAGAGAGAGAGGAAAAAAAATATTAAAAAAAAGAGTATAATAGAAAAATTTTTGGCCAGGCAGGGTGGCTCATGCCTGTAATCCCAGCACCTTAGGAGGTGAAGGTGGGCAGATGACCTGAGGTCAGGAGTTCATGACCAACCTGGCCAACATGTCGAAACCCAGTCTCTACCAAAAATGCAAAAACATTAGCCAAGCGTGGTGGCACATGCCTGTAGTCCCAGCTGCTCAGGAGGCTGAGGCAGGAGAATCACTTGAACTTGGGAGGCGGAGGTTGCAGTGAGCCAAGATCACACCACTACCACTGCACTCCAGCCTGGGCAACAGAGCAAGACTCTCTCAAAAAAAAAAAAAGAAAAAAAAAAAAAGAAAAAGAAATATGTTTCCATCCTGTTTCCCCTAGGGGAAGAAAGGCAAGGGCATTTTCAGCCTCCTAGGTTTGGTGGGGCAGGATCCAGGATGAACCTGATGGAGAGGTGAAGGAAATCACAGGGGGAGTTAACAAAGTTACAAATCTCATGACTGAGGCCCTGGATGCTGCTCCCACACCCACAGAGTACTGCAGGAAGTGGGAGGGGCCTCACAGTGGGGGCAGAGAGAATAGGCATCACATTCTCACTCCCACCCCAGCCTCAAGGCACTGCCCCAGCCTCAAGGGACTGCAGCAACAAGGGGTCTCTAACCAGCACCGGCCTTCCTGGGGGGCCACAGCCTCCGGGGCCCACTCCCTGGGGCTGGTGATGCCAACTGCCCCTCTCCCTCCAACTCTTGGGGAGGCGGGGAACTCAGATACAGGACTAAATAGGTTCAACCCTTTGGGTTCCTAGGAGAGAGTCTTTGTCTAGAGCCCCTGATAGGAACAGAAAGCTATCCCTTGTGTTGTTTTCTAGGGAGAAGGAGAAGAGGGTGGCGAGGGGACATCTGGTGTTCCTCAATGTCCTGGCCCCTAGAGGTTGTAGGGAGGGTTTGGGATTTGCGAATGATGGAAACCGTAGGGAGAATACTTGGAACAGCTGTCTAAGGAGTTTTTTTTTTTTTTTTTTTTTTAAGACAAGGTTTCAGTTCTGTCACCCAGGCTGGAATGCAGTAGTGCAAACATGGCTCACTGCAGCCTCCACCTCCTGGGTTCAAGCAGTCTTCCCACCTTAGCCTTCCTAGTAGCTGGGGACCACAAGTGCACGCCACAATGCTCAGCTCGTTTTTTTTTTTTTTGGTTTTTTTAAAATAATTTTTATTTATTTTTGTTAGTAAAGAAACAAAAGAGTGACTATTTCATAACAGAACAGCCTTTTTTTTTTTTTTTTTTTTTTTGAGACGGAGTCTCGCGCTGTGTCACCCAGGCTGGAGTGCAGTGGCACGATCTCAGCTCACTGCAAGCTCCGCCTCCCAGGTTCACGCCATTCTCCTGCCTCAGCCTCCGAGTAGCTGGGACTACAGGCGCCCACCACCACGCCCAGCTAGTTTTTTGTATTTTTAGTAGAGACGGGGTTTCACCATGTTAGCCAGGATGGTCTCGATCTCCTGACCTCGTGATCCACCCGCCTCGGCCTCCCAAAGTGCTGGGATTACAGGCTTGAGCCACCGCGCCCGGCCTAGAACAGCCTTTTTAAAAATTATTTTTTATGGAGATGGGGGTCTCACTATGTTGCCCAGGCTGGTCTCAAACTCCTGGGCTACAGTGTTCCTCCTGCCTTTGCCTCCCAGTATGCTGGGGTTACTGGCATGAGCCACTGTGCTCAACCTAAGAAGCCTTTAAGAACCCA